TTACTTTGATTGTTTGTTTTTGTTGAGTTTGATTTTGTTTTGTTGAGTTTGTTTTTGTTGTGAGGAAATTGCTCAGGATTCAATTTCTACGGTTTCATAGGTAGCTTTTGCAATGGATTCTTTTCTAGATTTTGCGGATTAGTGGATTGGGATTTATCTAGACCAGATGAGGAGGGTTGGTGGGCGAAGTGTCTTGAAGTTTTTTTGTGAGGAAGGAGGAAAAAGTTTCAGCAATATTTTTTTTAGTTCTTGGCCTAGGAATAGTTCGATAGTGCCTAGTTCTATTTATTGTCATCTACATCGTCCCTTTTGAGCTTCTTTTCACTTGTACCGCTCTCTCCACTTCAACATGGGCCATGCGTTTACGACCCCCCCCTCCATCGCGGGCAAATACGACCCCCCCCCGTTGTGATGATCACAAAGATGGCGTGCCCTGGCTACCCTACGCTGCCGCAAAGTATAAACGCAGCCTAAAAGGTTCCATTTCCACTGCTTCGTTATGACGTCACCATTTGGTTGACGCGCACTAATGCGCACACTGTACATATGGTGAACCTTACGGAACTTACTACTAAGAGGACAGCTGCACCGAGCCTTATATCTGCACCGATCACTCGATCTATTTGTCATTTTTATAATAGCTCTAACCACTCTCTACCACTCCACTTATGATCAATATGATGTATGTATGATCAATAGCTGATGTCTGGTGCTTTCCACACTTTCAAAAACGATTATCATTCGTTGGGAATAAAGGAAGTCTAGCGGTCGAGTACTACGTAATACGGTCGCCAGTAAAAACACCGGAATGAGAAGGGAACGTCATTATGTAGCAGTACTTTAACAGCGATGGTAAAGAATTCCCGGATAATGATTGATTGCTGTCTCTTATCACTGCTCATCAACGGGAACCGTTAAGTGTTCACATTTTGTGGAAAGTTAAGGCTTCAGCGGTTGTAGTTCTATTGCTACCAGAAAGGAATTGAACGTATTCCCTTACTACCTTTACTTCTGATGATTGAAAAGTTGGTTGCAGTCCAGTCCTAGAGGGTACAAAAGCAAAAGCTGGCTCATCAACTCTCATAATTCACTTCTTGAGTACCTATCAGCAACCATCTTTCTCCTGCCTGCCCCACCAAATTCTTTGCTCGTGAGCCATTTACCTGTTGCTGCTGAATCCGCCTCTCTACTAATGTTAGGATGCGCACAATCGGTTTTGCAGAGCTTCCTTCCTGACGTCACATAGCAGTTGTTATCGTTTCCTATCACTCACCAATAGTGTTCCTATCCTACCCTATACATATTTTGGAACCGACGTCCCACTGCTGCTGTGGCTTCCACTACGAATTCGGTGACATTCACCTACTAAAGCTTGTTATCAGCTCTTACCGGCTGTTATCGCTTTCGGTCACCCACCACTAATGTTCACGTCTCTCCCCCCCCCCTCGCCTCCTCCCCTGTATCAATCAAGAATTTGGCATGTGGCTAAATCGAAGGAATTTATGAATTTGTGGTCACGCACACACAACACACACACACACACACCACACACACACACACGAATTATATAGAGACCACAAACGAAGCCGAAACCTGGAAGACTTCCCCTTTCTGAACCCTCACTTTTTTCTCAAGTCCACTACTCGGAAACATACCCTTGTACTCGATTGTGTAGTTTCGGACGACGCGAAAGTCCACATCTACGACGCATAACCATTTCTAGTTTGTTTGAAAACTTTAGTAAGCCATGTCTTTCCGTCGGAATTATCAGGAAATAGTCCATTCGGCGCCGATTGCCAAACCCTCTGTGTTGCGCCATGCACCCTACTCCCAACTCCCACGCGGAGGTATTGGGAGCGTATAACTCAGCATATACTGTTTCAGTTGGATTATGAATTCACTAGTCGTATCGCCCGGCACGCCGAGCTCTCCTCCTCTTTAGCCTGGCTTCGCCAGGCGCGCTCCATATTGGAAACGGAACTCTTCCGATTACTGGGCTGCTCATACGGCGCTGTAGTGGTCGAATCGTAACATATAGAGCAAGCCTGCGGATCCTGCACCCCTTAGCCTTAGCACACGCTTATATTTGCGGTACGCGTAATAACGCCCATACAATACATAGATCTATAGATATAGATACAAAGTGCAGTCGATAAATACATAGCAGTATGAACCGCTCAGTAGAAGAACAAATTCTGTCCATTACCTGCACCGAAATGGCTACCGAAGAACGCTTCCCTTTGAATTACCCTGCAACCCGCTTGCTGAAGTACAAGTAATGGTAGGTACTACAGCCATTTACCATTCGTTCTCATCAGCAATCGGAAGTTTAAAAGTGAAGGAAAAACCAAAAAAGCTATTGAACGTGGTTTCCGGGTTCTCCTCGAATTTCCCCTGAGTTTCCCGTTCTGGGCAAACTACATACCCCCCCGCCCCCTCCCACCCCACCCCGCGCTCGTCGGCATAGACATTAAGTGTAATAGGATAGTAGGATGAGTTCATTTCTAGCGCTATCAGAAAAGTGATGGCGTAGGAAAAGTTCGCTTACTGAGACTTATCACTTGGGGCAGTGTAGTGGTCATAGATGTCGTGAGAATGTCCCCTTATCTTTTCTTATCAATTGATAAAATTGCTTGTCACCGTCATCAATGTCGCTATCACTAAAACTCCATAATTTCGTGGTGTAGAGGCTCCAGCGTTTGAATGAACAACAACTGCAACGTTCTCTATCAGCCGCTATCAGTTCCTGTCAGCCTCCGTCGCCGTCCCCTCCTCCGCTTTATATCATTTGCTTGCAATGAACGCTCAACTGATGCTACCCTTATAAGTATGTTGACCTCTTCCATTTTAACTCCCCTTATCAAATCTTATCAGCAGCTAACAGTTCTTGTCACCCACCAATAATATCCCTGTGTCATAGCCTTTATCGTACCTTGGAACAAACAATCCAGTGTTCTAGTCGGACCTCCCGACTTTGCATCCTTCCCTTGCATCTGGTCAGCCCCGGCGCGTGCAGGGGTGGAAGCAAAGAGGGGGGGGGGCTTGGCACCCCCTTCCCTTCGGCTCCACCCCACCTTGTCTCCCGCACGAGCACACGTCCAGCTGCGACGCCAGCAGCTCGTGCAATGGCTCGGAGTGTATGAATGGTTCTCTTATATATAGGGGAGGATGTTCTCACCATCAAAACATTAAACTTGATACATCGCAACCAAATGGTTGACGCTCTGTATTGTCACCTAGCGGTCGTTCTCTTTCTCCCGCAAACTCGAATCCGCATGAAGCTTTTTTGACCATACATAACATAACATGCATGCATAACAGACCGATAACACACAAAGTTAACTGCTTTTATCAGGATGCTAAGATGATAACGTCGTGGCGCGCGATGAAGTATTTCTTTTCACCTCCCGTCTCCCATTTCTGAGCTTGCATTTGGCGACTGTCTTCAGATGTCTGTGGAGGTATTCTTCACAGCACTAACCATGGAAAAAAAATCTTTGATCAGTAAGTGATTGTACGGAATCTTAGTATCACTCCCCGTCTTACTTCTAAATGATCCTTATGCTTGCGATCTCCTTCTTCTTCATTCAGGAACCACTCACGGCGTGCTCTCATTATCAGCTACAGTGCATTGTTGCTTACCACAGATACTATAGTGCGTGAACGTGCTAGAACCGCACGAGCGGAGTACACCAGTAATTTGGCGCTCAGTCGATACATTGGAATATTTTTGAAGTGTGTGTAAGACAAGATCGAGTCGCGACGAACAAACTGGCCCATAACTCAGTGCTACCTACACGAGCACTTGTTTCCTTTCATCTAACCCAATCTGTCGAGAGCTTTCGCTTTCACATGTAAAAATCTCGTTTTCAGGAACCAACGTTCGATTGGTGACCAAGTAAGTGCCAACCCTACAGAATGTACTGGTATATTTGATGGCTCGAGGCGCCCACGCATGCGAAATTCGACTCCTAGCTTCTTTTCTGATTTTAATCCCAGCTCTCGTTGGATTGGGGCTGCACGCGCTTCTTGCCATCACGCTATACAGGGTAACAAATAGATACAATCTCAATGTTTTGCTGCTGCACATCGCGCCCACTTTTTATCAATAACTGGAACTTTATACGCAACGCACGAAATTTCAGGGTTGGAGAAACTTCTGCAAAATCAGCTTTTATGTGATTACAGTGCAGTTGCAGTGGTGCGACGTTTGCGCTTTATTCCTCGACCTTTATGTTGCCTTTCCGCTTTCGCTAACCGGTCATCAGGTATGTACTGGCATGAGAAGAAATGAAGAGACATAGAGCAAACGTTTCACCGGGGTCATTGGCCCACCATGAGATTATGCTAGCCAATCAATGCAGTTTTGTTGTAGGAAATAATCCACAAAAACATGGTTCAATAACGACGTGCACTCTTGAATCTTCAGTCAAAAGCTCGGCAATAAATTGGAGAGCGCTGGAAAAACTAAGAAGCCGCCACTTCCTTGTAGTTGCCTTGCAATACGGTTGATGTGCTCTGTGGATATAATATGTTTTGATGAGCTTTTTCAAATAAACACGCCAAACTCAAGTTGCTGCAAGTGACTTGAGGACACATGCTCTCCAGCAGCTTATTTTACGGTCGTAGAGTTCTCGAGGAACGAGCATGATTTTTTTCCCATACGATAGCGCCAGCTTAGCTAAAGTTTAGCCAAGAAGCTCACCTTGTGCGAACGATATAAAATTTTCAAAAGCCTCCACTTACCATTGGATTAGCTACCAGAAACCTCGCGTGTTGCTGCATTACCACAATAGTCTTTGGATGTGAGATATGGCTTGAAAGGCGAAACAAGCCACAGTGCAGCAGTAATGATCTACAAGTCAAATTTTTTAAATATTCCATATTGCAGTACATGGGTGACAGCATGGCCTTGTACTACGCTCCCTTATTCTTCGAAGGAATCGCATTCAATGCTCTGTTCCTACTATTGTTTTTAATGAGCCTCAACCGATTCCTAATATTTGTTTTTCCTCGAGTGAATCACAGAGTCTTCACTTATATGGGAACAAGGATGTATGTGACTACTCTCGTAATTCTTAACTCAGTGATAAAAGAAATTCAAAGAACTAGTACTCATTACTGGACAAGTTGTTGTTATTTTTGCGTGTACTGTTCAGAATGTCGCTACTCCTTTGGGTTATTGTATTCCTATTTATTGGATTATCAAATTACTTCGGATGTCGAAAGCAGTTTGCCAAAGATGGTTTGTTGAAGTTTCATTCGTGCCGTGAGTGGTGATGGCTCCGAGTGTGAGATGTATATAAGGAGCTCTTGACATTCAGTTCACTATAAAAAGACAATTAGAAAAGCCAAAGAAACGAAAGAACAGAATAATCTCATGGATGAACATAAGTGGTCGATGTGCGCAAAGCTTCTCAGTTTTCATCCAACAAGTGGGGCTTCCATAAGACAGTACTTGAAAGAATTGAGACAAGAGCTGTGCTTCTGCTGTTTGACAGATCATTCAAATAAAATGATCTCGCTCGCGATGACTCGTTAAACGTCGGGCATTTACACAGAGCATAAGGTCCCTGTATCTAGAACTGAAGAAGAGACATATTTGTTGGTTGACTCCTTGAAATCGTCTGCATAATTCCTCGCTTAATCCGTTCTGAGTACTGAACATTGCAATTGCGATACCATTATTTTTCCACTTCTTTGATTCTTTGAGTGATTGTGGCTGTTCCAGACTTTTACTTTTGGTACAACTGCAGCAGTCGTATTCCAGGAGTCTTTCACTATAATGACGTGAGTGTTGGCATTTGAAATTTGTCTCCGTGCCTTGTTCAAAACGCCGAATTTTGTGAATGATCTCAAATGGAGGCAGTAGGCACGATTGAATTTCACTGAAGGTATAGGGTAAATATGCTTATCAGAGAAGAAGCCGAGCTCATAGGCAGGCGCTTTGTGCCTCGTGTAATTTTCCGCTCTCTGCAGAGGTTGCCTGAAATGACCTTTCAGGCAACCTCTGCAGAGAGCGGAAATTACCTTTGCTATCGTCGGGACTTTGTTACATTATCGCGGAAAAGCGACGATTTATCGTTTGTTCCTTTCTCATTCTCGAATGCAGAGAGAAAAGCGCACTACTTTCGTCAAGTTTTGTCTTCTTCGGATTGTTCAGTAGCTCTTCTTCCATTTTCGGCCAACAACCAAGCTCATAAAATTAGACAGGCAGCACAACAGTAAGGAAACTTTTCAGTTTATGAGCATAGCGTCGAACATCTTCCCTGTCACAATGATCGTAATGTACGTTATCGTCTATGTCAAAATTAGAAACGTTACTCGGGACGTCGTGAGGATGGACTTCAGTCGTGCCAAGCAGGAAGTCAAATACTTTGTGCAGGTGGTTTGATTTTTCATAACATTGGGGCCTTTGCGAGAGCAGCAATGTAGAGTGTCCAATGTGTAGATCTTTCACGATGTGAAAAGGTGCTGAATTATATGACATGGACTTTTGGTAACTAACGGATTAAGGACACATACCTGATAGTTCAGGTAGTCTTATAAGGTTCAGGGGTTGCACTAACTCGCTCAATGCTCGGGTGAGTCAGTCATGTTTGGTACTCACTTTTTGGATAGTCACTAGCCATAGTCAGAGCATCACTGGTAAGCCAACTATCTCTGCAACTACAGCACTACAAGAGTCGCCATATATCATGAAATATAGATGATCATCATTAAAGTGAGCTCAGAAGGTTAACGTTATTTAGAGAGCTTATTTCAGACAGTATTGATTAGTATTCTAATCATTGTCGAGATGGGAGCGTTTGTCATTGTACCTTACTTAGGAGTGACTGGCTACGGTCAATTCTACTTGAATATTCTGATGAATTTAATCATCATTTCTACCAACCTAGTCACTCCCGCCGTTATATTCACCTTCAACTCAGATGTTCGACAAAGTTTACTTTCGTTAATCTCACGAGAGCCTACTCAAACTGTTCAAGTTGTTACGACAATTCTCTGAAAAACTATATCTGCTCAGGCGAGCATAACGTGACTTGTTGTTCAAATGCTAAAAGAAGACCATGTGTATTGAAGATTTCTGTAAATGTGCGGTATTTATGCTGTAGGTTTGCACCTTTGACGTTTCCGTTTGCTGCATTGATAAAGCTTTCTGCTTCTTATCTGTTTCCCCGGACTAATTTCAGTTTCTTTTCCAGAACATGGTGTTCCAAAGCAAACAGATTATAAGGTACCGAGCTACAGTTACTGAGAGAGGTGAATGCCGGCGATGATGGCAAGCAGTGATAAGGCACTATGAAGCTGACAGAGTTTTTACCTCACCTATTCGGTAAGGGAGTATTATGTATGCTCCCGTTAGTCGTTTATGATAAATCGAGTGGCAGAATTTTTGATGCATCACCGATTAGAAGATTTGGGTACTTCTGAACTCCTGTTGACAAACAAGACTGCGAAAGCAGCGCAATATGATAAAAATGTGTTTCACCACCCTTAAACGGAGCGACTGATTGCAGCCGACACATTTACTGTTAAATGTGAACGGTCCGATAAGCAGGAATGAAGTGATTCACCAGATTTTGATTCTGTCCTAAGCCATTCGTTAAATATGAAGCACTTAGCTAGCGACATTAGGTTTGTTCCTTGCAATGCAATATCGTCTGGAAATAAGCAAAACGATCGAGGGCACGGTGCGAAGAATGTTTTGGTTGGAGAAACAACCCCTCGTTGAAAACTTCTCACTAAAAACTTCCCGCCACCTTGGCTTGAAAAACGCGCGCACGCACTCCGCTGCACCTTTCTCTCGAAGCCTACTAGAGAATTTCCCAAGAACATTTTCTTGGCGAGTAACTGATGAAGAGTAAATGCGAAAAAATGGAGCTCATAAATCAAAACCACTTGTTATTCGAAGCTCAGTTCAACGAAACTTACAGTAAACAATCGAGCCTATTGGAATGGACTAACAAAATGGAACTTCATTTTGGAAATTCGAGCATGCAAACCCTTTGCCAAGTCACTCTTAATGAAAACAACGCATGTCGAATCACTGCCTTCGCAAATTGTGGTACCCTACCCGTTTATCATCATCAACCTGAAGCTTCTTTCAAAAGCGCTGAGTCTTGCAACATTGACTTTTATCAATGCAAACACATTAAAAATTGTCTGAATAGATACTATGGGGATGCAGAGGGCGTCGAAGTTGAATTAGACTTATGCCTACACAGTTAAAGAATGCCTATTCAAATGAAGCAAAATGGAAAGCTAATCGCCTTGGGAATATTTGCAGAAACGTCTGTCAACATACCGGGTAATGATGCTATTGATACTACAAGCAGGGGAATGATACCAGTTTCATTTAAAGTGGCTACGCAGCAAGGAGCGGTTGAACAGGGCAAGAAACTATTGAAGTTTTGCACAGATGAATTCTCATTCGACGTGTCATGAGTTTAGAATCTTCATGTGTCACAGAAGCGTTGAAGTGCAAGTTTGAGCAAAGAGTTCATGACAGGAATCAACCGTTCCTGTCATGAGAATGTAGACTCATAAGAATAACTCATTTAATTTAGCCGGATTGCAATCTTCCAGTCGGGCAGTTGTATAATATTCGCTGCCCGCCTGGAAGACCATTCTCGATTAAATTAGCGGCGAAAACGAGAACATATCAAGGCATTTTCATTGTTCTTTCACTCATTCCGAAAGCACTAGAAATTACTTTAAGGTTTTTGGTTCTGGCTTTGTGGGAGACGAAAACTCTAGAAAAACTTGTATTGTAGTGAGCTCCTCTCCCTAATTCCATCTGCCAACGCCTTTCTTTCGTTACTACATTGCTTTCCAATCTAGACGTACCCAGAAGCCTTTTATGATGACCAAAATTGGATGCATTCTCCCTATAGGGTCTAGGCGAGGGCCTAGCACACCTTAGCTATACCCGATGCTCGATGATGTTCTTCTCCTAGAACAATATTTTCCATCCTAAGGGCTGTTATCGGACCTAGTTATGATTTTCATAGCAAACACCGCCCATCTAGAATACTCCCGCTCGTTTCTGTGCTAACCGTAACCCTTTTTCCTACTCTCAAGGTGCATTGCAAAGAAATTACAAATTTTAATCACTGTCACCGGTCCTTCACAAACATGCCTCGCTTACTGTGAAAGGGCACAGTAAAGGTGATGTTCGCTCCGTCCTTCTTGTTTATACCCTACCCATATCACACATGAACGGGATTTGGCGCTTCAGCCATTCCTCCACCCATTCCCAATCTGATCAGGACTCGAGTGGCTCTTCAGTTACCAAAGTTGCGGACAGATGGAATAACAAGCAAGCAAACAAACAAACAATTAGGAAAAATGGCTTTAGAAGAAGAGATGTTTCTGAAGCTATGCCATCTCTCCATACCTAACAATAGTTCTAGAACAGCATCAATCACAAACTTGAAGCGCTTCTAGCTGGTCGAGCTTTCTAGCTAATCATGGGTCACTTTGGCGATGACTACTACTGCTTTCCATTTTACAATGATTTTGAATAAAAATTTCATACTCCTAAAAAGACGGATATCAGCAATTCTTGATATTTTGAGCGTTAATTGTTTGGGGCTTATTGTCTCTAAAATAACGAGGCTGCGCCACAGTCGTCGATAATGATAACGCACAAACATCTTCTCAATGTTGTGAGCCAGGACGGGGCTATCATTAACACTTTCACTGTGTCCAATGTCGTGTTTGAATTCATCTGAGCGCGTCTCTGCGAAATCAATTTGCATCCAAAAAACTTAAAAAAACTAAAACTTAGTAAAATTCGAGCGTAAGAAAACACTGAAATTGTCAACACTACACTGATTTAAGCACTTATGAAGTGGGCCTGATGCGTACTGATGCTTGATGCATGATGGGTTCCGGGCTTAGCTACAATTTTGTTCACTGCTCAAGAGGCGAGTGTCAAGGAGAAGCTACAATTTTGTTCCTTGCTCACGAGGCGAGTGTCAAGGAGAACGAGTTTGGCGCGGCATGAGCCCGTTCCATACTTGGTAAGCAACAAGACTGCATCATATCGTTCATTTCAGTCATTTGCTGTTGCGTACCTGCTTTAACTTTGGAGGAGGAAAGTTGGAGGGAAGAAGTCCGCGCCAAACCTAGCCACACGGCACGCATCCTCCATCCGCTGCGGAGGACTGTACCAGTGTCATCATATAATATGTGTACACTTGCAGGCTTACTTGTCAACGTGATAGATGGTGCATTCTCCTATTGAACAAACTTTATCAAGACAATGGCAAAGAGATAGATCACGATAACAGCGTTGTCACCACTCTGACGAGTCTAGATGCATTACGAGACACCGACTCTTCATCGGAAGTGTTTGCAGGCGTCGCTGTTGCATGGAAATCGTGTTTAAGTAGCCATTGATAGCCTTTTTGTCGGGGGCTGACGTAAGCAGATATGGTCTCGTATATCTGAGTTAAACGCGAGTATAACTATTGGCGTTATGAGGTTATTAGCGATTACGATCAGATTCAGCAGAATATTTAGATAGAATCGACCGTAGCCTTTGATGTTCAGGTATGGCACTGTTACGAACGCAGCCACTTCGACGACAATCAGAATGCCTATCATAACGGTCTGAAACAAACTACTATTGAGCTGTAGTCACCGGAATAACAACTGATTTGGAAAAACATAGTTTCCAACTTTCCTCTACTGCCGTATCTATTTCTGAATGTCTAGCTCAAACAGCATGCCATTGACTTTTTTAAGTTCCTCTTGTGCAAATAGCACCGAACAATCTTCTGGAAAACGTAAAGAAGATTTTTTCGATGTTCGCAAAGTGTCAATTTGAAAGCAACCGAGTTTCACTTCAAGTGCCCTCCCTGCAATCTGGCTTTTCTCGCCTTTCGCTTTCTGATTAGTGGCTTCTTCACCAACATCTCCCTCAGGATCCTGAAGATTCTCACTACCCTTGCCCGCTACCCGTTCCGAGCAAGGTATCGTTCCCTGCTGAAACTCCCAGAATCTCTACACAAACACTATAGCTATTCGAAGGCCATTTCTTCCGAAGAAAAACAAATGAATGGTTTTCAAGAAGAAGTCGCATGAAAGTGATATCTGCTCTTTTATTGAACGGGTATCCTTGCAAAGCTCATTGAGAACGCCCTACGGTCACGCTCTCTAACTTGACTTCCACAGCAATGTGGGATAAAGTCGTTCATTTATGGTCGCTACAAGGGATTGAGAAAATGCTACCATCAATGACATGCGAAATCCGTGCATTAGAAAGTTCGGTAAGGCAGCGTTCATACTTCGCGACAGCAGTAGCGATCGTCAGTACAGGCAGAGCGCGCCCCAATTCTATTACTTGGACCGCTCGCTCTGATAAGGAAATCCACTTGTGAGACCTTTTTCTCTTAGTAATGGCTACAAACTAGAAACTTTCTCTCTATGAGGGGATCTGGAAAATGATCAAGGGGTTTCACCTTTTTTCAAAGGCCGGGATAACGCAACTTCATTCAATAGGTGAGTATCTTTTTTTCTTTTGTTTTCATTGTTTCATTTTTATGTTCTACCAGTCGGATCGCCCGCCTTCGCTACAGAAAATTTTTTTTTGCAATTCCAGAACATTACCGTTTCACATTTGGTATATACCCCCCTAGTGGACGGTTGTGAAATTTTCGTAAAGGCGAGGGGTGGAATGCGGTAGTGGATGAACTGAAGTGGAAGTATATGTGTATTTGAGTTGTTGTAGAATGAATAGCAGGTAAATAAACAAATAAATAAATGCAAAAAATTGGTAGTAAGTTATGAATTTTCGATTATGACCTCATATTCACTCCTTGCGACTATGATATATTATGAACTTTGGCAGCAGGCGCCGCCGACTCGGCGCACATCTCATCCGCTGGGGTGTCTCTTCACTTATGTTACCCGTCCCTCGCCCCCCCCCATAGAATGCAGCCCACTCGAATTTTCTGTAACAAAATTCGAGTCGATCACAGAGCGGGTTCATCCAAACACTGCTCGCAAAAATCGATCGAATCAACCTCGACCCACTTCTTACTCCACGTTTTCCCGCTGCTCGGGGTTCCGGGTTCGAACTTCGAAATTTTTACTTGGTCCCCGCCTACCCAGACAAACGCCCGCCGACTGCAATCTGCCGGGCTCTTTCCAACGCCCAGTTCGGGTGTGCCTCCTTCTGTTTATCTACCTGCCCACTTTTTACTCGAGTCCGTTTTCCCGCTGCCCGAGTAGTTCCGGGTCTGAATTTTGAAGATTTGCGTTAGGCCCCGCCCGCCCGAACAAACGCCCCGCTCACTTCGGGTATGCCCCACGCCCATTGTGGGTGTAGTCTAACGTGGTGCATAGAGAATGATTTTGTCCCCGGGTCCCTGTGATCTTCCGGAGGAATTTTACGAATTTTTGTCGTTGGCACTACTCACTTCGGTGCACGCCCCGTCTATTGTGTGCGAGGCTTAGTTTGTGTGTATTCGGTATATTTTCAACATGCCCTCACCCCCCATCCAAAGTTGACGGCGTTTAAGTGTTTTGTTGACGTTTTCAAGAGCCGCTCAGCTGAATATAGGCCCCGCCCATTGTGGGCGGAGCCTATTCTCCTATTGGTCCGTCCGACAAACGGACAGACAACTTCTGCTTTATATATAGGGTATGATTTTACATTTTTTGAGGTTTCCTATTGGTAAAACAGTTCCAACTTCCAGAACACTTACAGTTTACAAATCGAGCTCAAACAAAGAAAAAAGAAGAAATAAATGAAATTCAATTAGGAATTTAAACACTAGTCTTCTATGCAATATCGAGGAGGAGGCAACTTTATGAACTTGTGTGTAAGCTCGAATGATGGAAAAAGGAACTAAGGATTTTACCCTAAATGAAGCTACAACGTTTTCATTTGTGTCCTGAATTGAAGGAGAAAATAGAAAATAGAAGCCATCAGGTTTGGTCCACCTTCCCTTGAGTCGGCACAAGCATTCGTGCCACAGATAATTGCTTCGCGATGAAGACGACTCTTTCTAACAGTGTTCGGAGTGGTCCAAGTAATAGGGTTGCTGCGCACTCTGACCTGTGCGGTCGCTACGATCGCCGAGGTCGCCGCGATCGCCGCTGCTGTTGCGAAGTATGAATGCCTAATGCAACCTCATGGCAAACCCTGTGCGGACCTGCCACTATTCCATCTCCCTGGTATTTCAAATCTATCTGAGTGAATCAATCCAATGACTGACTGGCTGTGAGTCGAGGAAGATTTAGACAACTAGTAGCGAATTTGTTAAAGGAAAATTTAGAACTACCTGTATAAGATATCTGAGCTCTTTTTTGGAGGAAACTCTCGTCCTTCGTAGTTCCTCGTAAAGAAAACCTAATGGCTACGTAGACAATCAAGTACATTGTAATCATAGCAGCCGGAATAAAATACGATTGAATATTCATGAACTGAAAAGGCATTAAAGTCATTGGGCACAACTATTTTTGGAATCTTCGCAGCTCGCGAATAATCCCACATAAAATGGAACTTACGTCATTATAATGAAACTTCCCTGGGATTCTGTTGCTGCAGTTGTACCAGAAGTAAAACTCTGAAGCGAAGTACGAATTTCTTGGCAAGCATCACATTATAAAATTCTGTAGAAGAATATGGAATATCTAATCGATATGTACTGCTTATAATACAAACGATATGTAGCAGCTTTGAGCGAGCGCTAGCAGGGCGCATATTTGGGCTGTCTGTTGGGAGTTTTTCATGGCATACCAATAAGGTACAACTTTTGCTGAACTAGTGGGCAGACTACACTTTGCATTCGCACAGATCGTAAAGTGAATTGGCCCACGCGCAAAAAAACTATGAATTAACTCGGTACAAAACGTACTACCCATCCTTGGCAGGACCCACATGCGTGAGAAACCATCTACATCAACGCTTTCATCCCACCGTAGCGCCACTGTCCCTAACTGATAATCTCCTAGTGAAGGCGATCCGTGCAAAGCCGTACAAGTGCAACCGAAATTCGTTTTCGAAATCGCTTGTACTAGCAGCAAGGCCGCAGTTGGCTCATTCTACCAGGCTTATGCAAATTATTTCAACCGTTCTGCATAAGGCGGGAATTTGTGTTTTTCGTACCTTTTGCAGGAATTTTTAGCACACTTGAGGTTCAGTTATCTTCTTTTCGAAAGCACCCGACAACACACCTTTTGGTCTCTCGTATGTTCTTTTGCCAACTTACAGACCTTTTTCCAACTACGAAGAACTACGTAAGTTCAACTGTTGCCTAATAGTTACTCAGTTTGTTCCCCCCATGTCCTAACGGCTGTTATTATTGAAACTGTTCAACGAACCATCCTTAGCGAACTGTTTGCGACATCCATATAGATTCGACAATCCAATAAAAATGAACACATAAATCCAAATAAACAATGACATTCTGAACAATAACACACGTCATGAAATTGAAAACTTCTTGCGCTCCTTCAGTTTTTATTGAATAACTGATTGAGGACACATGTGGAGACAACACAACCGGTTTGTTCGCAAGTTCAGAGGTTTTAGGTTGCCACTATTGCATGACAGTAGTCCAAAGGGCGCTGTGGTCGTCATAATCGTCATGAACGCCGCCCTTGAGAGTGGCCTCACCCAGCCGAGGACGAGATAATTCTGCGGTTCCATAGTTGTAAATACATGTGTGACGCGCCGGGTCCGTCTGTGTAGGCCGAAGTTGCGGTCTCTCGTCTTTTAGCTCGTTTTCCTGTTCTACCTTGAATCTAATCCTTTCTTGTATACCAGTGACATCATGGCGCCCTATTCGAGAGGTTATCGGCGGTTTTGTCCGCTCCTCTCCCAACTGATTAATCAAAGCACAATTTTGATTGACCACGGATGTGATCGCGAAATGTGCCCTCTGGTGAAGTATCGCTTACATTCGTGTCCCCCAATATGTGAAGAGTTTGTTGTGTGCTCGAGGAAATATAAACAATAGAAATCGGTTGATGCTCAAGAAGAATGATAACAGAAATAAGCAGTTGTATGCGATTCCCTCAAAGAATAGTGGAGCATAGTACAACGCTATGCTGTCGCCCATGTACTGAAATGATTGTAATGATTTTGACAGTTGTCAAAGTAACGTTTTGATGCGCGAGAACCACTAACTGAGGAGGACAACCTATTCATATTATCAACGTGCTACCCTTAGGTGGTCATATGTATCTGGCACGTACTTCTTCCAGGTAGTACTACGACGAGTCCACTGATTCTAGTGGAATACGTGAATCCTGGCAAAAGCTTTGATGAGACTGGCCGCTCAAAAGGCGGTTAACGATAGCTAATAGTGAGAAATTCTTGAGAAAACTTTTCGCAGTACTATTCTTCACTCAATTCTGACTAAGAAAATTTTGACTAATTTTAAGCTCCAAGGGGAACTCATGTTAGTAAGGGAAGCATATTATTATCCCGCTTGTTCGAATCTATGTAGCCTAACGAATAGGATTCGGAGCTTGGCAAGCTGTTTGGAAACACAGTTACTGTGCGTTGTTCATAAAATGGTGTAAGCGTATATTGAACACGTAACTTCATGTCGTGATCAGTGTTTGTGCATTGCTGGATAATCATGCGTTTGTATGCGGTTCTCGTCGATTGTGTGTGCGATATGCTGTACTCATCCTGCACTCTTTGTGGCTTGATGTAAGGTTCCATTAGGGTTGTTTTATTTATTTTACAAACTAGCAGTCCATATAACAGTGATTGCACTTCATATGATTCATCAATTCATAACATCAGCTCATAATCAGCACAATGATAGTAGCACTCCTTATATCGTTTGCTTTTTGCTGTCTATTTTCATCAGTTGCTGGCAATGTGCGGATTTCGCATCAATTCCGTAAATCTGTTATTTGGTGTCCTTGCACAGGTGAGCCTCATATGAATTATAAAGCCCAAAAACTTCTTTTGCTATTCCAGGTTAGTTGGTCTGTAATTTAGGCTGTTTTCTAGACCGATGTATATAACTGAAAGCAGAATGAGCCTGCAAAGAGCATGCGGCAAAAAGAGTCCCATTACGTAGCGTTGCGAATTGCAGACAGTTCGGGAGGCAGAAAGCGCGAACGGCAGTCGAAAAACACCGCGGCGTTCAATGTGTTGAAGAGTAACTGCGTCTCTCGGCTGGAGAGGACGGCATCCTTGTTTAGCGATGGATTGTTGAGGGTCGGGAGAAGATTAGAATTTTTGCTCACGTATCCATCGGCTACCTAGGCCCATGCCACGCATGAAAAGAGCTTGCTTGCAAAGAGAGCAAACTACGACATGGTTGGCCCGCGGTCCGTTGCGTAACGTTGCGTCATCGCCGCTACGAACATGTGAGACTCCGGTCACACTGCCGGCCAAGGTCTACTGCAACCTGCGGGGATCAAAGTAATTTCCTTGGCTATGAGTCTGTCTCTTGGGTTGATCGTCAGTCCTAAACACAATTTTGATACATATTTTTGGCGCCAATGCCATTTGGTGCCGCCACGGCGAAGAACAGCCCGGTTCTGTGAATATCAAAGGAACAGGGAAGAGAAAGCACTTTTGTTCCAGGAACGAAGAGTTGCTACGTTTTTCATTCACGTTTTGTTGGGGCAAAGGATTCAGGCAACCACGGACCCAAAAAATGGAAAGTGTTAGAAATGTAAAATTTGTGCTCGTGTAGAACTGAACCATCAATATATAATTTTTTATGCTTTTCAGGCGCCCGCAGCGGCAATGAAGTTCACTTCCCTGGTTCTCCTTGTGCCCCTACAATATGAAAAAAAACCGCTTCCCTGCGCCCTGATTACCTCCCGTAAGATAGGCTACGATCCTACTATATATAAACGGCAACGTCTGTCTGTTTGTCTGTTTGTCTGTCTGTCCGGAAATTCGGAATCACCTGAAGAGCCAGTTGGAGGGGGCGGGTCAAGGGTGGGTTGGGTAGGGCATGGGCCAAGATGTACGGAACACACATGAACTGAGCTAAGCCCCGCCCACTGTGGGCGGGGCATGCGCACAGTTGTGAGCTACATAGTTCAAAAATTCGTAGTTCGGTTCTAGAAGATCCCGGAGAGCGGAAATTGTGGGAAACGATAAGCAGTCAGTTGGCGGATGAAATGAGGGAGTCACACCCGTGATGGGCGAGGCGTGCTATAGGTGGGCGGTGCTCGCTACAGAACTTTCAAAAATTCGTAATTCGGTTCTAGAAGATCCCGGAGAGCGGAAATTGTGGGAAACGATAGGCAAACAGTTGGCGGACGGAATGAATGAAGCACACCCGCGATGGGCAGGGCGTTCGCCGAAGTGAACGGTGCCGGGGACAAAAACCCTCAAAACACATCCGAAAAACTCCAGGAAATGGGGAGTAAGTGAAACTGAGCAATGGTTGGGCAGATGAAGTTAGTAAGGGATAACCGTAGGGAGTATACCAAATGGTTGGTGCCGTCGGCCAATAGTTCATAATTCGGTTCCCAAACACACAAGTGTGGCATAATCGCAGTGAACGGGGTATGTGCCATAGTGAATGGGAGTCAAAATCAAGGGTTCGTAAATCAGTATGTTTATTTATTTGTTTATTTACCTACTATTTACTGCACAACAATTTAGGCATATTCCTACTTCAGTTCATCCACTAATCATCCAATACCGACAGACCACACATCGACTATACAGTAGTTTCACAGTTGTTTACCATTGGGAGGGTACATCACTACTATATATAAACGGCAACGTCTGTACGTTTGTCTGTTTGTCTGTTTGTCTGTCTGTCCCGGAAATTCGGAATCACCTGAAGAACCAGTTGGAGGGGGCGGGTCAAGGGTGGGTTGGGTAGGGCATGGGCCAAGATGTACGGAACACACATGAACTGAGCTAAGCCCCGCCCACTGTGGGCGGGGCATGCGCACAGTTGTGAGCTACATAGTTCAAAAATTCGTAGTTCGGTTCTAGAAGATCCCGGAGAGCGGAAATTGTGGGAAACGATAGGCAAACAGTTGGCGGACGGAATGAAAACTTCTCACCGGGACCCACTTCACACCCGGAAGGAGGATCGGCCGGCGAAGCCGGCGATCCGACTGGCCCTCCCTCTCATGGAAAACTTCTCACCGGGACCCACTTCACACCCGGAAGGAGGATCGGCCGGCGAAGCCGGCCGATCCGACTGGCCCTCCCTCTCATGGAAAACTTCTCACCGGGACCCACTTCACACCCGGAAGGAGGATCGGCCGGCGAAGCCGGCCGATCCGACTGGTTCCCCATAAAGGACAAGCTCCGCTGATTAACCGTTGTCGATGCTGAACATGGACTGAGCTGTACGTTCCTCTACTTCCCATAAGACCACTTCTGGCTCTTTGGCTACCACATAAATCAAAAGTATGTACTCCATAGTCTAGCAGGTGGTTAATCATGGATAAATAAGCGACCCCGACTACTTGAGGCAAAGGTGGCTCAGTGGGAATTGGCTCGCTCACGTATCTGACACTGGTTCTCGCCTTGGAGAGCATCGCTGTAATAGGAATTGTAATACCTGGACACCGGTTAGGGAGAGCGGAAAGGCAATATAAAGATAAAGCAGAAGAGCGCAAACGTCACACCATTGCAGCTGTACGGTTACCACATAGAAACTGATGTCACGGAACGTTTTCCAGCCCTTAAGTATAGAACCCAATTGAGGGATTGAGCATTGACAACCAAAAATGTTAAAAATGAGAAACTTGACGAAAAAGTAGCTGCTCACTCTATAAAGTGCGATGCCAAGTAGCATATGTAGTCCCAGGCCGATCAGGGCTGGGATCAGAATAAGGAGTGAAGCTAGCAGTCGCAGTTCTAAAGTTGCCTCCACGTCCATTGACTCTGAAACTCTGAATTTCAAATGAAGCTATGCTGTTTTGGTGATAACTAGACTCTAAGACTGCGTTCTACTTAAAGGTAGAGTTCAACAGCAACCAAATGCTTCCACCACAGTTCTCAACGTCTGGCAGTGTCAGCGACTAAGAAAGGTAGATAATGATATAGCGCCTCCCAGGGTCCGTCAGTGTCCTCCAGTGTCCACCAGCTTATCGAGGGCTGGAGAAGCATGAGTATCGATCTAGGGTCTGCCAGCGTCTACCAGCGTGCACCAGAGCCTACCAGCGTCCGAGAGAGGAGAGCATGAGGAGATAGGAGGGTAGCGCTTAGTTGTCAGCGTATGGTGATATAGAAGGATGGCAGAAAGGTGGTGGAGAATATGCCGCGATAGGAGGGTCCCATCTGTGTGCTGTCCTTCTAACCCATATCCCCCTCTCCCGGAAGCTGGTAGACGCTGGTGCATGTCGGCAGACGCTGGATCAATACCTTTACTTTCCTAGATCTCAAGACGCTGGCGGACGCTGGTAGACCCTGGGGCACACTGGTAGGCGAGAGGACTCTGGTATACACTGACAGACGCTAGATCTATATCTATACTTTCCTAGCCGCTGACGCTGCCGAACCTCGGAACTCTGGTGGACGCTGCCACATAGTATGAATGCAGCCTTATCTACAATCTGTTGTGGAGAACGAATGTCCATGCGCTACAAGAAAACACAAATGACTCGAATGCGCCGAAAACTACTCATTCCTTTTCTTTGCTCCTGAATTCGAGTTGGCTCACAAACAACGACGTATTTTCTAACGCAAATTCTTTACAAGAAGACAAGAGGACTCGTAATTTGAACGTTCTAAATTTCTGCTTTGCATCCTAACGAAACATGCTTAATTTTCCTTCTCATCCAATAAAAAGTGCTTGAAGTAGAGCGTCAAGTCAACGAATCAGGCATTTTTTGATATCCCCTTCTTTGCATTCTCAAAAAGGTAAAGGTGCAAAAGCCCATCTGTTATATGGCCAGAAGCCATTGTATTTATAAAAGCACAATTCGGATCAAACGGCCAAATAATCTCTCATAGAAAAGCATAACGCCGGGATGACCATCCTCATGAAAGCAATGCCGAAAGAGGGAGGGGGTGGGAAAATGGTAGATGTCATGAGATGCTTCAACATTTCAGTGAGCATCATCTTCACTTGATGGGAGAAGTCCGTAAACTTAGTGCCTGGTTTCTGCT